TTGATTTCAAGTTTAAAAACTGAAATGCGGTAAACTTGAAGAACTATGATGTATTTTCATTTTAACAAGATAAAAATATTACTCTAGACAAAAAAATTATTCCGTACGTCCAAAAATACTCCTAATTACTATTCAAAGGTCAAACAAATTTTATCTTCTTTACACATTTTCAATGATCATTTGATAAAATATAATAACCTTGTCAACACTTATTTGTAAAACTTATGATGTAATTTTTTAACATACTAGGTTTGTACTCATGCATTGCACGGTAAGAATATTATTAGTTATTTATTTCTTCTGTCCCGAAATAAATTTTACTCTTTTATTTATAATTTTTATACTACTTCATAAAAAATAATTTTAAAAAGATGAGATTTTATATATTGTTCGAGTTAGAAGTTTGTTTGAGTGAGAGGGAGTATACATAAACATTATTTCCTAGGATTGGAAGACATTCCAAAGTTGAGATAAAATTTGAAGGATTTAAGTGGAACAACATTATTGACAATGTTGATGATCATACTTTAGATGAATGCAAATTGGTGTGTGAGAAATGCTTGTCAGAAACAAAATACTCCGTACTTAAAAAATTCACAAATTTATTATTCAAAATGATCTTATTAAAAAATTGAAATTTAAATATATAAATAGTACTCCCTCCGTCCCTAAATAAACTTCCTTTTTTGATTTTTTGGGAAATTAAGGGAGAGAAATTTTGGTGTGACTTTCCAAAAGATGTGATATGTAGATTATTAGTAAAAAGGTATGATGTGATAGGTAGGGTATAAAAAATTAAGGGGTAAAATGGGTTTTTTAAGGGAAAAAGAAGTTTATTTGGAGACAAAGAAAAAACGAAAGGGAAAGTTTATTTAAGAACGGAGGGAGTAAATTTGTAAATTTTGTGAATGTTTTATTTGTGACTATAACATTTCTTTGTTGTATAGACTAGGACTTAAATAATAATCAATGGGAAAATTTCCTCCTATGTTCAAAACTTATTAAATATCTCTTCATCTCATTAACTCCCCGGTTTTTATGTATAATTACTAAATAAATTAAATTTTTATTTATCTTAAGTTTATTTTTCTCTCCCTAGTCCTATAATGAATTGAAGATTATGAACATATGCAGGGGCGGACCCACATAGGATCATACGGGGTCAAGCGACCCCACGGAAATTTTAAATTTTTTTAGTATATATATAATTTTTTTAATATATACCTCGATTTAGTATATATCCTACGAAACGCCAAGGTATTCAACTCCCAGCACTGAAGGAGTGGAAATCTCTGTCGTATTTGATTTGTGTGGGCGGATGCCGCGGACTTGTGTTCGAATCCAGGTGTAGGTGGCTGACTATACATTTTTCTTTTAAGAAGAATGACATCAAAACGGCGTCGTTTGTTTTTTTTTTCCCGATTTTTGCTTAAAGCAGTTCGACACCTCCTGTTCTGCACTTCTGCACCAGTCCAGACCTAATTGCAAAATCCGAATTCGGAACTTGAGGCTGACCATCCCTTCGCCGACGGCAGACTCCAAAGCTCCGCCGACTGCCGCTTGGAAGTTCGAACCGACGACGGCGACGAGGACCCACCAATTACTCGAACAACCAGGTTTTTTCTCTTAAATCTAATTATCTAAATTAGATATTTCTTTTTTTATTTGTAAATTGTGAAAATTTTAATTAATTTTTATAAATTTGTTATTGTGAATAGCAAAATAGATAATTGAATTCGTTTATTTATTTTGTAAGATTTTGATTTGTGAATATGTTAATATAATTAGGTATTTTGGTTATGTACTTATTTTTAAGGTTATAATAATTTTAAATTATTTAAATTTCAATATAGGATGCAAAGGTATTTTAAAAAGGCACCAAGGTTTAAAGAGAAAGAATTGAGTGAGAATCCATCAAATTTGAACGCAAATGCTTTGTCATCTTTAAATCATCCTCCGGAAACGTCAAATTTGAATCCAAATATATCATCATCTTTGGATTTTGAATCGTTAGAGGCTGATCCAGACTAAGAAAGAGAATTATAGACTATCATCCAAGTGTACAAGATGAAATTCATCGTTCTTATCTGAAAAAGGGTCTTTTCCAACTTAAAACTCATAGGTTTCCTGTTACAGTAATGTCAGATTATAATCATAACTTTCGTCCAGTTTGGTTTAATGAGTACCCTTGGTTGGAATATAGCATTGCAAAGGATGCTGCATATTGTTTTCCATGTTACTTGTTTAAAAATATCAGTGATGTTGGTGCGGACCATTTTGTGGGTATTGGATTCAGAGGTTGGAACAAAAAAGATAGGTTTAGAAAACATGAGGGTGGACCAAACTAGACTTTATCATTTGTAAGATGTATTTAACATTTGCAATGTAGAACTACTTTGAATTAGTATTTTCAATAATATATATGAACTTTAATGTTATATATTGTAGAATATTGTTCATTTATTGTTAGAAGCGTGATTGTTGGATATAAATTTTCTAAATTACGACCCCATGGTATAAATGTTCTGGGTCCGCCCCTGCAAGGAACTAGGCGGGGTTTTTGGGTTGGGTAAAGTTATTTGTACCCCATGTTTTGTACCCCACTTTGTACCCCGTAGCTTTGCACCAACACAAAGTGTTGGTGTAAAACTAATTTTTATTAATGCACCAACACTTTGTGTCCGTGTAAATTTTTGTTAATGCACCAACACTTATGTCGGTGTAAACCATCAAAATGTTTGTGTATAACTACGGTGTACAAATGGGGTACAATTTGTGGTGTAAGTGTAGCATAACCCTATTGGGTTTAATACTTCTATTTGTTGCTAAACATAGAAGAAACGGATTTGGAGAACTTGTTAGAACGTCTGAAATGTAATGTTTCAAGCTCTTCAAACTCATCCCACATATTTCGACTTTTTATACACCTGTAACATTGAATCCCAATGTCATATTACGACTAAGCTCTAAATGAGGCTCTCATTGATGAGAGTTATTTTTTTAAATTTTAATCTCGATTTAACTGACACCATATATTTCAACTCTTTACACTGTTATCTGCCAACTCAACTTGTGTGTTAAATATGTGAAATTTAAAATGTTAACTAAACAATTGAGGAGGGGTTCATGTGACATTGAATCCCAATGTCATATTGCGACTCAGCTCTAAATGAGGCACCTACAATGCTCTGTTTGAAAAATTGACGGTTCTTACCCCAACCCTCCTGGTAAACCCCCACCTCCGCCCTACTCTGAATCCTTCCCCCACCACCTTCAATTGCACTCCATAAAATTTAGTTGAGTTTGGAGAAAAAATTGAAGGTGGTGGGTGGGTGGGTTCGAGGTCGGGTGGAGGGTTTACCGGGGGAGTTAGGAGCGGTAGGATCGTCAATTTTCAAACAGAGCACCGCAAGCACCCCGTGTTAGAAATGTCAAACAAAGGAATAGTGTCAAACAAAGGAATTGATTGTAATATCTTGATAATATCCTTGATTGGAATCAAATTACCAATCAAGATATTTGATTAGGTTCCAATCACTTTCCTTAATTGTCCTCTTTATGTAATTTGTAATATTTATAGACATCAAGTGTGATGTATTCAAATGAAGATGAATATTATGTTGTGAATTCATTCTAATATTTCTATTATGGTATCAGAGCCATCATTCGATCAAACGATTGAATGAAATGCAGCATTCATCATCTACCATAAATAAAAAAAATATATAAAAAAATGTCCGATAAAACTCCTCAAACGGGCAGCTCCACCAATACAGCTCCACCAATACAGAGGAATTTGACCCGATGAATCGGCCGATCAATCTTGCACAAATTCTGGAAATTCTTCAAAATTTTCAGAATTTGGCACCCAAGGCCGAACCTATCGAGAGCCCTTCCAATCAACCATTAAATATGGCGGAAAAGCTCAACGATAGGAACTATGCCATTGGGGCGGGCAAAATGAGTCGATGTGGGAAAGGACATTGTGCTGGGTATTTATTTAGAAGAGAACATATTGCTGCTTAGTCGATGTGGGAAAGGACTCTATATAATACTCAAGCGGAAACGAATTTGAGTCTTATTTCATCCTAGCAAATTTGAGTCTTAATTTTCTTTCTTTGAAGCTTGGCCAAGTGCTCAATCGTTTATTTACAATTTTAAGGTATTAAAAAAAATTGACTGCTCGAGACAACGTTTAGATAATAGAAGATAATACTACTCATTTTCGTTCACCGTTTAAATAAATTTCGCTAAAACATGCTATCTCGATTCCAATTCCCATAACACCCTTTCTTTTTGAAAAAAACTTGTATCCTTGAAATTAGTAATTTTGGTATTATTTTTTAATTTTGCTTTTACTTTATACTCCGTATTAGAGTATGATGAGATATGTAGTCATAATTAGAAAATAATACTAAAATTACTCATTTTAAAGACGCGCCTTTTTTCAAACAGGAAGGATTTTATAAGACTGAAGGAGTATTATACTCCATCCGTCCCTAAATAAACTTCCGTTTTGACTTTTTGAGGATTTAAGGGAGGGATATTTTGGTGTTGACTTTCCAAAAATACCCTTGATGTGATGTGTAAAAGTAAGATGTGATATATAGATTATTAGTAAAAAGGTATGATGTGATAGGTAGGGTATGAAAAAGTAAGGGGTAAAAAGGGTTTTTTAAGGGAAAAAGGAAGTTTATTTGGGGAGAAAGAAAAAACGAAAGAGGAAGTTTATTTAGAGACGGAGGGAGTATATTATAATTATGGTTGTTACCTATTATAGTTAGAGTTATTATTATATAATATTACCTTATATTATTAGCCATTAATATGGAGGATTTAAGAATATATTCCTCTACCTATAAATAGATGTCGTGTATTCGCTCTTGGTGATCTTATTTTATACTCCCTCCGTTCTATAAAATCCTTTCTCTTTCGTTTTTTTCAATTCCCTAAAACACTTTCACTTTATATTAAAAAACCACTTTTACCTCTATTTTTTCATACCCTACCAATCACATTGTACTTTTTTACTAATAACCAAACTATCATATCTTACTTTTACACATCACATCAGTGGCAAAATTGCAAAGTCAACTAAAATTACACTTTCCTTATTTTGGCTCAAAGTCAAAATAAGAAGTGTTTAAAGGAACGGAGGGAGTATAATATTACCTTATGCATTACTTATTATTTTTACATGGTTTTGGAGCCTTCGTTCTTGGTGATCTTATTTTATTCTATCAAATGATTAATGAAAATGAATAAACGAAGTAGATTTAGCTTTTCTGTGAATAATAATTAGGAGCATTTTTATTTGACGGATGGAGTAATGTTTTTATCCGAAACATTTGGAGTAATATTTTTATCTTATTAAAAAAAAATAAAAATGCATTTGTTATGAAATTAATGATTGTTCATTTATTCAATTAATCAGGCCTACTTTCTAGAATAGTAGATTAAGACACTAATTGATGAACACTAATTATGTACAGTACTTCCCACTTGTATTTGTATTCATACCAAGGCTCTCCACTATAAATAGAGGCCTAATCCCTGCATTGTAATCACAATTAAGAATAAGAAGAAGAGTGAGAAGTTAATAGAGAGAAGAAATCAGAAATATATCATATCTATTATCTAAATCTCTAAGTAGTTTTTCTCTCATTTTATAAAACGTTATCAGCACGAATTTGCTCAAAATCCCAGAATCCTTGTTCTTCTCAGAAGGTATATTTATTTTATTTTCTTCATGAATAAATTAAAATATTTTCTTAAAAACTATAAGAAGTATGCTCTGTGATTGCCCAAAGTTGGGATCCTTCACATCAGAAACTTATAGTTATAAAATTAAAATTAGATAATTAAAAGGAAGAAGTTTCCTCATAATAATAATAAAAAATCATTTTTTTTATAAACTAAAAACAAAGAGTTGATTTAATACGAATTATTTAAGATTAAAAAAAATTATTTTTTAAAATAAAGACTGTTCTTGAAAGAAAAAAAAATCATCATTAAAATCAAGATATGATGAACTTACCTTCCTGCTACTCTTGAATTCTTCTTGTACACATCTTTGATAGAAATAGATAATCTCACTTTATAATATTATTTTTTTTATCCTTTTCTCTCGTTATAAGATTTTTTCAAATTTGGGTTTAAGAATGAAGATTAAAATATGGTATGATATAGCATGAATAAAGGTATAAGGAATCATATACAAAGTAAAGCATGTCACTGTGGGAGAAAATATTAATATAGTACTCTGTATGTGGTGAAGCAGACAACTTTTAACTTGTTGTGTTTTATATTCTTCTATTCATTAGTTCTCAAAAAGGAATCAAATTTAAATTTGTGGTGAGGAGAGATTTAAAAAAAACATTTTTTTTGCTGACATAGTAGACGTACAAGTGTACAACACCTTTTATTTTGATTAATATGCTTGTCTCTTTTACTTGATTGATTTAATAAAGGAATCATCTACTCCGTATATACTCTGGATTTCAAACATTGCATTTTTTAAAATTATGTATTATTTTTTTTTTAAAAAAAAAGGAAAATTTCTTGGTTCAATTAAATTTTCATACGTACAACATTAGTTATAAATTTTTTTTAAATTTATCATGTTGTAGTTATTCCATGGCCAACATCACCAAAAGAGAATTCGACATTCTTGATTTATCCGGTCAAAGGTACCTGGAATGGAGGGTTGATGCACTTGCTCACCTTAAAGCTAATGGCCTCGAAAATACAATTGTTGAGAATAATACATCATCATCTCAGCAAAAGGCAAAAGCCATAATTTTCCTTCGCCACCACCTTCATGAAAGTTTAAAATCGGAATATTTATTGGTGGAAGATCCGAAGGAATTATGGGATAATCTCCAAGAGAGATATGGACATCAACAAAAAGTCCTATTGCCAAGAGCTCAATATGAATGGATCAATTTAAGATTCCAGGATTTTAAGTCTGTTTGTGACTATAATTCTGCTATTTTCAAAGTCACGTCCACATTAAAATTATGTGGACATAATATCACAGATCATGACATGTTGGAGAAAACTTTTTCCACCATGCATATGTCAAATGTGATATTGCAGCAACAATACAGAGAAAGGGGCTTTAAAAAGTATTCTGAGTTAATCTCA